TCAGCCTAAAAATATTACCAGGAATCACAGGTTCAAATTTTATTTCTGTCCTCAAGATACAAATAGGAATCTTTCCATCAGACTCAACAAGCCTCGAGTATTTTACATCTCCCAAATAATCATAGGTATTTCCCTTCTGATTTTCAAGTGGAAAAAATGGAACAGCATTTGCTGTCAGGTATCCAAAAGTTTACTACTACCTGCAAGCCGCTGCAGATCCCAGTCACAACTGTCTTTCACAATTCCATCTATGCATCTTTGAAATCTACAGTTTGTAAAGAGCAGATACAGCTCCATAAAGGCTGCTGAGACATCCAAGCTGCACCCAGGGGCTCTGCCATTCCCAGAGCGCCCTGTTTCCCTTTCCAAGAGCTGTCTTTTCTGCACACTCCTTCTGCGTGGGACAGCTCCAGCATGGAAGGGTTCCAACTCCTGCAGAAAACAAAGGGCAGGCACATCTGGCAGAAAAGCTGCAAGACGTTCATAAATCATAGCTGATCGTGCTGTTGCTGTGACGTATTGCGAGGGTCCCTTTGAAGAACTGCACCCAGTTGTAATTTGATAAACCCAGTATTGCTTGTATCGGTCACAAGCAGAATTTCAGTGCCCCACAAGAGCTTTTTCGCTTGTAGAGGGCTGAACCCTTGCCCTTTCCTTGTTCTCCCTCTCCTTGGGTGAACTTCCCACAAGGCAGGAGAGGAGCCCTCCCCACTCGCCACCACCACAAAAACATACGAGGTATCAAAAGAAATAAAGGCACCAACCGCACTAATAAACACTGGGGCCTTCTGGCGTCTCTGTAACCCTTCTAGACTGAATCTCATTTTTTTCTGATGCTCAGCAGCCTGAGGAGACAAACCACACTTGCTCACTGCTTAGATCTCAATGGCCTATTCTACAAAATGCTAAAAGGGTTGAAATGTGTCAACAACACACTCCCACCAGGACTTCTGAGCCAGGCTGCCTCTGAATAGTCCAAATTGTTTCTAAGACATGAGGTGGCCTATGTTTATTACAGATCTTTATAAACTTCATCTATGCTGCAGGAAAAAATACAGTTGAATAAATTTGAAGATCTGACTTTGCACAAGTATTAGGCACTGTCTGCCTGACTTTTGTTGACATATCTCAGTCTTTCATCCCAACCACATCCCATACACTGAAATGGGCACCAAATGTAATTCAACAACCAATTATGTTAAAGATTTACTGAGAAAATTTGGGACACCATTATCCATTTACCAGGGACTCCATCCTTTACAGTCCATAGGAAGATACTTTGTGTTCCCTTCCCTTACTTAAGTACTAAGTGAATATAAACTAATATTGATAATAAGGTGGTTAGGCCTTGCAAACTCAAGACCCTTATAAATATTTCTGAGGGCTGGATGCTGATGTTGATATAATCACCAGGGCTGTGACAACAGAACAGGCACAACATCAATGTTGTTTCCATGGGAAATATACCCTTTTTATTTTTACTTCAGTTTTCCAAGGTCTGGAATATTGGATTCCCCAAAGTCTTTCAATCCTAAATTTTAGTGGTATACAAACAGATTTGATAGATATGGTTTCAGATGGTTCTCCTCTTCACCTTCACCGTGTCTCTGCTGTCTTCAGAGAATTTGCTCAAAATTCCATCCCAAGCAAAGACAATCAACCCCAGCTCACATTCTAGATGAAATAAACAGCTGTGATTATTTCTCTTTATAGCTCTTGCCCTCCTCTGAGCAATAACACAGTGCCTGTTGTGAGGGGTGACTTCCAAACCTCCCCTTCATACATGAGCTTTCCACTCCATTTAGCTTCCTGACTTGTTTTTATTTTTCTTCAGAGTGTGTTAAGCTAATATATATGGATAAACAATATTTTGCTCTGTGCCAATAGTTTCATTTGGGTCATTAGTGCCTTGTATCTTTCCCAAGACAAGAATGTTAAAAATACATATATGTGAAGAATGGCTGCTCTGTTCTGAGATGAGAGAAGAAAGGCTGTGCCAGTACTCCAGCTTTCCAAGTTTTATAGACCATGTGGGCTGTGGTTGAGATCAAAGATATAGACATATTTTACCCTAGAAATCCAATAATGGGAGGTTTCGACAGTGATGGAAAAGATAATTCTGCAGAAAAATAGAAAATGGAAATCCTCCAGGTTGCATCCAAACCCTTCCATGTACTCCGCTGCAGTAAATGAGAAGTTGGTGCTGCTCTGCTGAGTGACACCAGAGGAACCGCTCATCCATATGGTCTAATTGTGGCTTTTCGTCTACTTTCCATGTATAAATGTCTTTCAGAATTACTGTCAGGAATAAGCAGCACATTACAGTGTAGTGGTGCCAATTCTCATCATTTCATTATGTTCTGTCACAACTGGCATTTTTCCTAAATATCAGCTATTTTACTTAGTCGATTAAGAGAGAATCTCAGCTTTGTCCAAGGACAGACATCTCTGACCTTGAGTCCCACAGATTCAAGCTTGTACATATGACCTGAATGGATGTCTTTAAGGCTCAAAAAATGAACGCAAGCAAAAAATTGAGGGTCTTTTTTTCCAAGTCACGTATATACTGCACCCATCACATTGTAGTGGAGTACACAGCTGGTGGGCTCTGCATGCCTGGATGGAAATGGGAGCCTTTGGAACACACACACGGTCATGGAAAAACGCCTCACTCAGAAAGTGCATTCTGCAATCACATGTGAGCAGACCATCCATATTGCTCTATAGTTGCAGTGCCTGTACCTCCTTGCTCCCCAGCTGCTGAAAGCAGCTCTTAACTGCAGATGAGGGTTTTCCTTCACAAAGGGTTTTCATGATTCCAATAAACCAATTAACTTGGGAATGTTTTTTCAATGTTGCAATCTAAAAGTCATAGAAAACTAGGGTTAGACACTAACGTACTTCATTTTGATACCTTCCAAAGAGACATTTATATAGTTTTTGTTTTCAGTGCTTTACAGAAGCTGGAGTGATTGACATTTGAAGATGCTTATCCCTACATGGGCTGCAAAGAAAGCTTCTCTGACTTTAAACAAAGATAGATGAGGCGATTCTCTCTCTGCAGATTTATCTACATAATTATAAAGATACTTTAAAACCTAAACCAAACTATGCAAGACGGAGATGGTTCTTTGTCACAATAGCTCCTGAGAGAAAAATGAAAAAATCACTCAAGTCAACTGACTAAAATCTCAAGATTTTGGCTTCCTTGCAGAAACAAAAAACATTTTGCAATGCAGACCCTCTTTTTTTATTGGCTGTGCAACACGTTCAGGCACTAGGGAGTACCAGGTAAAACAACTTTGACATTAATAGACTATGATAACAGATAAGTGTGACAATCTGATTGTCCTTTCCTGTCCTCTTAAACACATTTGTCCAGAAGGAAAATAGGTAAGAGGTGCCAGCAGGGGACAACTGAGGCCCTTTGAGACATGTTCTTCACCTGGAAATCCTAAAAGCTGTAGTCAAGAAGTTCTGTTTGGTGACACTGCTGCCGTCTTACAGTGCTCATGAGTTAGCCCTACAAGCTCATTTCAGGAAGGACTGAAGACACCTACACAGCTTTGGCTCACTCATCCCAGTGTCTGCACGATATACAAAAGGACAGAGATCTCCATGCTGGACACACCATAGAGATGCAGTCATTTTGCTCCAGAGAATTCATGAATATTTTGGGTGAAAGACAGCCTACACTTGATTTCTTATGTCAGTGCATCCCAATCTTCCATTCCAATCACACTCCATAGAAATTTTGACCAGTGTCAAAAGTGGAGAGGAGTTCTGTGTAAAAATGCCCAGTTTCCTAGAGTTTCTTGGATGGAAATTCAGAATTCCCATGAGACATGTTATCAATACCTGGAAATCTGAAAGATTTCAACCAACTGCTACACTCACTAACTTTTTTATGCCTGAAAATGAACCTCTTGAGACAGAGGTCACTCCCTGAACTGGGTACCACTGACAGTAGAGATAAATCTCTTCTGAGAAGCTGACATCTGCCTTCACGCTACATTAAAATATAATTCCTTCTTTTTTCACCATGTTGTAAGCATAGAAATCTCCTCTAAAGGAAGAAATAGTGTTTAGGATTGATTACACAGTGTCGGTCAAATTATTTATTTTTTTTACTTGAAATTGTCCAATGATAACAAATCAAAACAAAATATGATTTATGAACAGCAACAACAAAAAATATTCTGTTCATTTTGAAACTCTAAGGACTTCACCTCTTCTAAAGGAAGGGTTTCTAAAAGATACTGTGTGGCTTAGGGAAGTATTTATGTTTCAACCAGATTGTGTTTCCCTGTGAAAATGCTCTGTTGGCATTTGTCCAGCCAGGTTTAATTACTTCTGCTTCATGTGACAAGGGAGGCATTCCAGCCTGTTCATCCTGTCTGTAATGTCTGTCATTACTAGAGTTTAATCCCATGTTGCTTTCTGCTGTTTACTATTTATTCACAGCCTATGCTGAGTAAATAGCAGTAAAAAGACCTGTGGTAGAAGCTTGTTCTCTTTGGCATCTCCTGGTGTGTTTTCCTGTTCAAAGCATCTGACACCATACTTGCTGTTTGTTCTGCTTTCAGAGGTATATCACCTGATAGTAATTTATTACGGAATTTCTGTGTATTGCATATGTCACTGCACGTGAAATGAAGTGTCAGGGTATAACAGAAATAGTAACACGGCTTATGATGCTGTGAGATTCCTCTGCTTTCATTACCATTTAAGCTAAGATTTTCAGGATCTTTAAAGAGAGGGGAATTGTTACCCAGTCTCATTTCTGCCCAGGGTTTGAGCCCAAAGTCTTCATAACTCAGTTACCAGCTCCCTATAACCAGGGTAAATATTGGATGGAGATCGAAAGAAGGGGAAAGCATTTAACAGAGCTTTTCTTGGCTCTTTCCAAAGCTGAAACTTCATCATTTCAGTGAGATGGCAACACATGAAGCATGTCTAATACTCGCTGATCTCATAAGTCTTTGTAAACTTAAGCCCATTAATGTCGATAGGTTGCTCTACGAGCTGTGAAAGAGCTGCTGAGGAGATGTAAAATCCCAATTCAAACCACAGACTGATCATATATAAATGCTTCAGTCACATAAAAGGCAATTTAAGGATACTTCCTACTGTCTTCATTGCTTTGCAGTATGGCAGTTTTTCAAACTGTGGGGAAGGCCTGAGGAAAGTTGGAAAAGGGAAGAAAAAAGATAGCAAAGGATTAGTATAATCAAAATACAGTCGCTTATATGTATTTCTAAACATTTAATTGAGTATTAACTGTGTTAATCATGAGAAAGATAATTCTAGGAGGAAAAAGCAAGAAAAGAAATAGCACTGACTTTGACCCCTCACAGCTGGATTCACCAGCTGCCAGTGGCTGCAGCAATTGAGTTACAAGAGACAAGTTAAGGTGCAGGAAGCTCCTAAGCTCAGGTTGGCATGGAGACCATCAGAAATAGGTGGGTGCTCACCTTTAAGCACCACATAAAAACAGCAGCTTCAAGCACAGGAAGAGGCACCTTGACACTGGATGCTCTAGGTGTCCATAGATGTGCCTGGATTCAGTGGTTGGCAAGCAGTGCTGCCTACCTCTGGGGAGCTGGAACTAGATGGTCTTTGAGGTCCTTTCCAATCCAATTCATTCTGCAATTCAAAAAGGCACTAGCCAAATTCATGGGAGCAGAAGCCATGTTAGAGCCACTAGATGCAGGAGATACTACCTCTAGTTTAACTGCAGATCACTGTCAGGAAGGAAAAGATCATTGAGAATCAACATTCAGGTTGGCCATCTGCATGTGCTTCCGCCACAGAGCAGTAAATGCCTCCTTTGTATGTACCTGCAACAATGACTACATAACTCATGTTCTTCTCAGCCTGGGATTACTGTAGTGCTACTGGCAGAGGTATTTAGCAGTTCTTGGGTAAGGTAAATACTTCATTACCTTCAGAGGAAACAGCTGTTGTTGCTCTGGGAGGTGATGAACAAGATGATACAGATGATACTAGCAGCAGAGGAACAATTTTTTTTTTTTAAATTAATCACTCTCCCTCCTTCACACTGCTTTCATTTTCATTGTGAGAGATGCATTTTGGTTTTGTATGAACACCTCCAAAAAACCTAGATCCAAAGGAATGCCAGGAAAATTACACCTATTTCTTGTCTACATTTTAAGTGTTGCTTCTCCCACTTGAAAACATTCACAAAACCATCTCCTCCCACACAGGAAATAGGGTTTTTCAATCTCTCAGAGGCTAAGACTCCTCAAGAGCTGTGCACCTGGGTAAGTTATGGTTTCCATGCAGCACATGCATTTCCAGTATCTCCCCAGGGCCTTTTCCCTGTGGTCATCAGAGATCTTGTAACAAAAGTACATGTGCATGCTCAGAGCTGCCAACAGACTGAAAACTAGAGGATGGATTGTAATAGAAATTAAAGAGTTCTTTTAGGAGACCACAGTCTGATTTGGGTTATACTGATCTGAATCAGATGGTGCTCCTGCAAAATCACTGCCTGCAGAACAAATGCTCAAGTCAGAGCAGAACTAGGCCCTCAGAACAGTGCAGGCAAATGGGTCTCAGAAAAATGTGATGAAGCCACCTGTATGGGAACTGCTGAGTCACGGCCTGAACCTCTGATTAATCACCTGAGGTGAGCCTTGAGTCAGCCAGAGGAGCACAGGTGAAGGCAATTCACCTGTGCTGCCGGAAGGGGTGGAGCCAGGCTCCACCCCTCCTGGACCTATTTAAGAGCTGGCTACCAGAGGGGAAGGATCTCTTCTGGAGATCCCCTCTTCTGGTATCTTCTAGTGAGCTCAACCCAAGGGTAAGCTCTTCTACTTATTCTCTTTTGTGATCCTTGTTTGCTTTTGCCTTACTCTTTTGATTATATTGCAATTATAACATCTTGGTCATACACCACCTTAACAACCTGTTGGTGTCTCACGGGGATTCCCTGCAACTTCAGCCATCACACTGATGAGGGCACCACCTCCCAAATGCCAGACCAACCCCTAGCACAGAGGCACCTTCTAGCAGTCAAGTGCTGTGTTCATCCTAGAGCTAACTCAGTAACTTTTGTTATTGCTTCTTTTTTTTTCCCTTTGTTTTTGTTTGGTTTTGTTTCAGAATAAGCGGTCATGAGCTGATCTGACTCTAATCATACAACCATTGAATCATTAAGCTTAAAGAAGATCTCTAAGATCATCTAGTCAAACTGTCGGTCCACCACCACCGTGCCCACTAAACCATGTCCCTAAATGCCATGTCTTCACATATCTTGAACATCTCCAGGAAATCTAATCTCACACTGTGGAATCTCATGGTTGTGATTTTCTTTGCCGCAGTAACACTGCTCCTGATGGATACACAGTAAGGGAATGCAGGACCAGCTCCTGTGTGTGTTGGGTGACATTCCAGGTTCTTGGCAGCCAAGAGATTTATAATAAGGGGAGGCAAAAAGTTAGAAACCACGTGTTGGAACAAGAAGTAAACATCCTGGGTTGCATCCGATTGCACAGGCTTGATGTAGGGGTCTGGTTCTTCAGGGACTTGGAATCAGGGACAAAAAATGAGCCCTTAAGTCTACAATGCACTGACATTCTCCACCTACTAAATTAAACAGGAAATTAGTGTTGAGGGGAACTTGCAGAATCATTAATAACTATTTTCTTTTGTGGGAAATCAAGTGGATATCCATCTCCTTCATTGCATGCTGCTCTCCAGCTCACATGAAAACTTTCACACCATGGTCACGTCAAGAGTTCAGCACATACATTTCCATCAAGTGCACACAATGAGGTGGTCTGGTAGGTGTTACAGCAGAGTAAATATTTTGAGAAATAGAGTAAATAGCAGCCTGTTCTGCCCACAGTCTGTCTGATTTTGCAGATGCACACTGGTAAGCAATTCTGTAACAAAGACGCAAGGGCTGACACCTCTGTTTCTTTCACAGTTGAGAGCTGGGGCCTTGAAGCAGCATCATGCTCTGGAGCAAGCATGTTGCTTTAGGAGCAATCCCCAGATTTCAGTGGTACTATTCATACAGAAGCAGAGGACAACATCTGGCCTTGCATTTTACTAGTTTTTTCTTTGCTTTGCCCAAGTTCGCAAACAGCCTAAATACTGAGAAATCAGCCTCCTAGAGCAATAACAACTCTGCAGGTTTTGTTAAAATGACGGTGTTGCAAATAACACTTGCTCATTTTAAAGCAGCCTCTGCAACGTTAATGATTCATGTAGTTAGCTGGAGAGGAAAGGGAAGATGAATCTACACTCTTTGGTCTGCAAGTAAACATAGCTTGCTATTCCATACAGAAAAGGTGGAAAAATGACACTTAAAGCGACTGGGGATGTGGTTGTTGTCCTAGTGAGAGGACACCTTGGCTGTCACCACATTATCTGAGGTATTTTCCTACCTATGAACCAAACTGTAACCAAGCAAGGAAAATCACTGTTAATATTATTATAATATTATCTGATCATAAAATGTTATAAGGTTTGTGAACCTTACCAGTGGAGAAAACTGATAGCAAGAGTCCCTAAACAATGGTATATGTCTTTACAAAGACATTAAATCTCCAAATATTTTAGAGACGACTGTGGTATGAGGAGAAATTCAGCCCAGTCCCTTACATGAGTTATATTACCCCATCAACTTAACATTAGCTCCTGCTTCTGGGAAAGTGCCTGTTTTAAATGGCTCTAGCAGAGCTTTATTAATGCTCCATTCATGCTCATTTTCTTCATGTAGGCTGTCACTACTACTCAACAACTTCTGCAGATGCTGTGCACTCATTGGATTCAAGTGGGCAGGAAAAAAAGTGGGTTTCTTATGTCAAACCTGGCTCCATGAAGTTCTGTGAATGAGATTGTTTCCACCTTGGGGAGCTGGGAGCAACCACATCGGCACCCTGAGCTTGACAAGTTCTCACAATTTGGGTGGCTATGCAGGGTTATATAAGTTTCTTTGGGTTCACAGTAGTGCATAGTCACTGGCAGTACTGTCCACGGCCCTTAATCCCTTCCTGTTCCCAGTGGGTCACCTGCAGCCCATGGGAAAGCTGGCCTGACCCCCAGGGTCCATCCAACCCATTCTTGAGCACCTCCAGGGATGGGGCACCTGCAGCTCTCCAGGCAGCCTGTGCCATGGCCTCACCACCCTCTGAGCGAAAAATTTCTTCTTAACATCTGACCTAAATTTCCCCTCTTGTAGTTTAAAGCCATTCTCCTTTGCCTTGTCACTATCAGACTGTGTAAAATGTCAGTCCGCCTTCTTTTTGTGAGCTCCCTTCAGGTCCCTTCAGTGGAAGGTCACAATGAGGTCTCCCCAGAGCCTTCTCTTTTCCAGGCTGAACAAGCCCAACTGCCTCAACCTTTCTTCATAGAAGTGCTCCAGCTCTTTAAGCATCTTTGTGGTCCTCCTCTGGACCCACTCCAACAGTTCCACACCTTTCTTGTGGACATAGTACTCCAGATGGGGCCTTAAAAGCAGACAATGGAGGGAGAACCAAGGAGACCAATCAGTTCAGCATCTGTTTTAAAGTTCTGGTGGAAGCACAGTGGTCCAAGTAACAAGGTGGTATGAGAAACTGGCTTCTATGTGCAGATGCCCACCTCTGCCTGCATTCGTTGAGTCTGGTCTGGGGTACGACAGAACAGATTAGCTAGGAGCAGATGGTCAGTATGCTAACTCTTTATTAGCACAGGTCAAGGAAAAAGGCAATGTGGGATTGATTAGAGCATAAATCCTCCAGCAAAACCAGCCAGGAAGAGAAGCAAGAGCAGATGGGCTCTTAAATTCATTGCTAAATCCCTCTCTCTCTGCAGAGCTCATGGATACTGCCAGCATCTTTGCAGACAGCAGGGCCTTCAGGGACCATACAGGTGTCCATCTTGCAGAGCTAGAACGACACACTACAATCACTGTGACCTGTACAGTGCAGGTGTATGCATCTCACCCAGTGAACTGCATGTTAATTATCCCAAATCAAAGGTATTTGTTTTCTTGGGCCTGTTTTTAAGGCAAGATGGGGAATATTTGGTTGTGAATACCAGAAACTGTAGAAAATAGCAAAAACTACCTTTCTCCTAAACCAGTGCTCATGCAGCCACCCTGCACAGCATCAACTTGGAGCCCAGCAGGCTGCCAGAAGTGACGGCTTTCCTGGGAGATTTAAAACCAAAGTTCCTTCTGACAGCTTAATCCCTTGCATGTATATAGCACTTCACATGCCCAAATATTAACTGATTCATGGTTAATTAACTTGTGGTTATAAATTTCCCCTGGCACTTTTTGCAAGGCTCAGGATGTGAATGTTAAACTAAGTGTCCCAGGCAAATTGCAGCACTGTAAGAAAAATAATGGGGCAGATCGTCACCTGGTTTAGTGCAGCTATGTAGATTTACTTGAGCCCAGGGTCTGAACCAATGGTCCTCAACTTCATTAAATAGAACTGCAATGAATGAACTGCAGAGCTCTTTTCTATACTTAACTCCAGTAATTAATTCCCTACTAGAGCAAAGTATGTGGTACGAAATAGCACATTTACTTTTATTCAGATGAATATTTCGACATAATGATGGAGAAGCATGAGAAGACGAGGTGGCTCAAGGCAAGGAAATGAAGGAGTGTTGTGAAAGATCACACTGTATAAAGCCTGAAGACCATAGGGCAACTTTGTCACTTGCTTGAGCAGGAGGTAGAAAGAAAGGAAAATTTTACCCAAAAACAAATACGAGAGAGTAGCTCCTTCGCCTCAG